TCTTTTGTCCTAAATCTAAACTGCAATTGCTTGGGGAAAGGATATCCAAATGTCCCTTTCTCATGTGGGGGTCATAGCCCAGATAGCTAGGTGAACATTCAGGAGATTTCTAAAACAAGGGAACTTGCCTGTGACCATGTTCTAACCACTGCCTGGTTCATGGCCTTGCCCCCAGATTGCATGCGCATCTGTCTCGTGCCCTCTCTGATTCCTCCACCTCCAGTCCTGCTGCATCGACAGATGTGTTCAAGCAGAATTCAAAAGAGCAGACCTCAAAAGAACAGCAAATCCTCACTCTTCCAACCAGAGTTCACTCGCTGTTGTCTCTGAACTGGCAGAAGAACAGGGTACCTCTGACCACTGATGGAGCTGCTCCCAAAATTACTGGTTTCTACTATTCCAGATTAGTCACTCCACGTGCACGAGTGCAAGCTGAACAGCCAGCAGTGAAAACACAGATGTTGCCCAGATGCAAACAGGCATTTCTGGAGAGGACCTAGCAGATAAGGGAGACCGGAAGCACAGCTCTTCTATAATTCACGTCCTCGCCTTTCAAAATACCCTACACTGGCCTGCTTTCGGAGTGACCAACATTTGTAGCAGTGAGCAATGTACATAAAAAGGACATGTTAGAGTTAAAGTGGTTTGCATTTATTATGTGTAATGGGCCAAAACAGCATGCTGGGAGAGAAGTAGCTATAAAATGTTAACCATCTATATAAAAAGAGTTATTTCTGTAGAGCACAACCTTCCATGCAGAAAGTCACTTCTGCTTTGCTGTCGATATTGAGTGTTATAAAAAAAGAATGAAACTATAGAAGAACATCTGAAATGATCTCTGAAGGTTGTGTCTGTCTCCTGATGCATCTGAGTGGCAGTTCATGGTTACAGTATTTCCCAGTGAAGGTGACATGACGGTACATGCAGGTTCTCCTGCTCAACACTGACATGATGTCGGGCATTTGGTCAGTGAACAACTCTTCACAGTCATATAAGACCACAGCACTCTGGAATGTAATTTACTGTTATCTTTGGACCTGTCTTTACTGCGAAACGTGACTTGTTTTTAACACAGAAGTTACACTGTTGTTGTCAGAAACAGTTCTAAGTATCTTGAATGCCCAGTCTTCACCAAACATCAAGTGAAATACTCTCTTGGGTGCTTGTGCCCATGCAAAATTTTAAAAATAAAGAACTGAATCTATGCCTTGGGGTTTGGGATGCGTTCTTTTTTCTTTTTCTTCTACAAAAATATACAGTTCATATACTTTTATACAAAAATACGGGTCTTTACATCTATGGTAAAGAGCCTTTCCACTGTGCCTTTTGCAACTGGACCTGTCTATCTCTCATTGGCCTCTTCAGCCACCAGTGCGCTTGTAGCAAATGTGGGTAGAGCCGTTCCCAAATCTTCGTTCGTGAAGCCTAGCCATGATGATGATACTAATAATATGATATATTCCAGAGCTGTGTGTACAGCTCATTTCATTGATGCACAAATATCTCTGAGCTCTCAAGTGGAAGCTGGGGGTAAACCTATAAGTAGATGGATTATAAGATGAACACCTACCCTTTTGAAACCTGTGCCATAGTTCTAATACCAGTTGAAAGGTGAGGTTTCTATGTTTCTATGATATCATAAATCTCCTTAGGCTTCAAGACTTTCAGGGGTACACAGCGCTGCAGTATCTCATTGTATAGCACTTAGAGCTGTTACGTCTTTTATATGAATCACCATATGGGTCCTTGAAAAATTAATTTTAAAATGTTTGATTTTAATTTAGAAGTTCTTTCAAGGTAGTACAGCCCTGGCAATCACTACTGGGCCCTTTGGGAAACAAGAGAAAAGGAAAAAAAATAAAAGAACATTTTTGGAATAACTTTGTTTTGCACAACTCAGTATCAGTCGGCAGAGGCAATAACGAAGGGGCTGCAGGACTGCTCTCAGCTATTATTGTGCCTGGCTCGCTCTCAGCATGACTCACTGCAGACAATATATCACACCAATCACAAGGGGAATGAACAGTAAATACTTGGCCCTGGATAGTTTTTTTTTCAAAATCTCTTCAGTTGTTTTTTTTTTTCTCTCTGATTTGTATCCCTTTATCCTTGCCCATGTGCTATATAAGCTTCTCAAATCTAATGTCCATAACACCACCCCCCACTGGTAGCAGCAAGCCCTTCCGCTGCTGTAGGGTTTACTTTGCAGAGGTTTACAAGGAGAGGCATTATTGAGAAACTGTATGTGTTAACCCAGTGGCACAGGGTTGCTTCAATGCCTTCCCTCTGGTTTTTCTTTTCTCGGGGGAGGGGTGGCTGCTATTCTAGTTAAGTGAATCTCTTGCTTTGCTGTAGCAGTCAGGCTAGTTTAGGAAGAAAACCTTGGGGCTAAACAGGCTAGGAGTGCAGCCAAGGGGGTCAGGAGACGGCTTTAAGGATTATACTACATAATTAAAAGCTCACTCTGAACATGCTTCCTGGTACCCAGTGCTCAAACACACAAACCTTTTTAGGTAATAATTCTTGGTCCTCATTTGTATCTGAGGGATTTGTAGGTTAAAGTTGCCATACAGGTAGTGAGTCAGGAATACCAATTATTCATCTAGACTAAAAAAAGACAACACCTTCCTAAACCTGCCCTAGCCAGTGAGAACTGGGTGTAAAACATAAATAGATGAATGTGCATGTGTGAATGTGCATGTGGTTTGTTTTTGTGCAATGCCCTCTGGGTGCATCTGATCTCATTCTGCAGCATCTTTCTGGATTAAAAAGTGGGGATTCTTCTCCTAAAGTGCTCTGCGATCAGAACTGGGTCAGAACATTATTCTACCAGATAATACCTGGGACACAAGACTCACATTTGAGCTTATACTTTGTGCTAGCCCCAAAGAGGACCATTTTTTTTTTCAAATACTTCTAATCAGCTGGAGCCAAGACTAGAATTTAGGTCTTCCATTATCTATATTGTAGGCTAGTGGATGCCCCATCAGGCTACACAGAGTGCAAGCACTTGCTCTACAGTGATCCCCATCCCAGACCAAAATGATGTTAAGACCGACAGACTCCTATAGGCTCCTGTGTTTGCTAAAACAGCATATTCTGATATTTCGGTCAGATATTTTAACCAAGTCTGTGCAAGCTGCATTAATTTAGCTTTCATTGTCTAAAATTAGGTCCTAGCAAGATGTAGGTACCAAAAAAACTAGAAGCATTGGAAAGGAGGAGGAAATATTGAAGACACATATTGATTATATTGTGTGAGTAATCACTTGCTTATATTGTGCTATAATGCACAAATAAACAGTCTACGAATCCAGGCAGCACATGTTCACTAATCAAAATAAATAACCCGGTGTGAACAGGGATAAATCACACTTCCACATCAAAGTTGTGGAAAATGGATATTGTATGTTTTGCCTGATTTTCCACCAGAATTATCACTTTTCTATTTCAAGAGAAGCTGCAATAAGCCAGAGTTCATCCTCTGTACAATGATATATTTAATTCAGACTTGTTGGGCTTTTTTTTTCAGAATACTGGCCTTTCTACTACTTCAGTTAAATCCCAGTGTACTGTAAATAGGTTGTCACATATATATCCCTTGTCACAGCTGGATAAACACATCGTGTGGTGGGTGAGCAACTGGCTCACAGGTTGAGCACAGATGGTAATAGTGAATGGAGTAACATCAGATTGGTGACCTGTCACTAGTGAGGCTCCATCTTGGGCACTGTGCTCTTCAACATCTTCATAAATGACTTGGTTACAGGACTGGAAGGGATACTAAGCAAGTTTGCAGATGACACAAAACTCAGAAGAGCTGTTGACTCCCTCAAAGGCAAGGAGGCCCTGCAGAGAGACCTCAACAAATTAGAGGACTGGGCAATCACCAACCATAGGAAGTTCAACAAGGGGAAGTGCTGGATTCTGCACCTGGGATGGGCCAACCCTGGATGTACATACAGACTGGGGAATGAGATGCTGGAAAGCACTACTGTGGAAAGGGACCTGGGGGTCCAGGTTGATGACAAGTTAAATATGACTCAGCAGTGCCCTGGCAGCCAGAAGGGCCAACCGTGTCCTGGGGGGCATCAGGCAAAGCATTACCAGCCGGTCGAGGGAAGGGATTGTCCCACTCTGCTCTGCACTGATGTGGCTTCTCCTTGAATATTGTGGCAGTTTTGGGCACCATAAGAAAGATATTAAGTTGCTACAGGGTGTCCAAAGGAGGGCAATGAAGATGGTGAAGGGATTTGAGGGGCAGCTGTATCAGGAGCAGCTGAGGGCACTTGGTCTGTTGAGCGTGGAGAAGGGGAGACTTCATTGCAGTTACAGCTTCCTCATGAGGGGAAAAGGAAGGGCAGGCACTGATCTCTTCTCTGTGGTGACCAGTGACAGAACCAAAGGGAATGGCTTTAAGCTGTGTAAGGAGAGGTTTAGGTTGGATATTAGAAAAGCATTCTTAACCCAAAGGGTGGCTGGGCACTGGAACAGGCTTCCCATGGAAGTGGTCACAGCACCAAGCCTGACAGAGTTCAAGAAGCATTTGGAGGATACAAGAAGCATTTGGATGATACAAGAAGCATTTGGATGATACTCTCAGACACATGGTGTGACTCTTGGGGATGGTCCTGCGCAGGGCTAAGGGTTGGATTTGATGGTCCTTGTGGGTCCCTTCCAACTCGGCATATTCTGTGATACTGTGATATCAAAAAATGGAAAGAGACACCAAATAATTAACTCACTATTACAGACCGAAATATGAAGAACCTTGCCCAGTGTAGTTAGCACTGGCTTCTAGTTTTGATGAAGCTCATGTTTGACTGAATCAGTGCCTAATCTTTTCAACTCATTAGTGTCTAGCGCCTGCCTGCTTCCAAGTACTTTTCATTCCTTAAAAATCTCATGTTTACAACCATTTCCTTGTTCAGTTTTTGGAGAACAAAAGGGAAAAGAAAGGCTTTATTCCCTGGGTTAAGTCTAGATCACATATACAAAGGAAAAGAGAGATTCTGCTACACTTTATTCAATATGATGTTACAAGAAAACAACAGTTACAGCTGACAAACCATTACATCTTTCATAATACAGACAAATTACAAGGTGTAACAAATAATGCGACATTTATTTTACTGTACTGCTTACTATGCTGTTCTTCTGAAGTATATATATATTTAATAACATTAACATTGTTTTCATGTACCAGCCTTCCCCTTTTTTGTTTGTTAAAAAAAGAACACCTCTTGGTGCACCACATAAAAATCCGCGTGGAAGCTGGCAAGCAGGGATTTTGTATGCAGCACCATTGAAATGCATTTTGGGGGATGGGAATTATTAGTGCATCCTTTACTTTCAGATTTTTTGCTTATGTGAAAAATGCAAGGCAGTAACATACAGTCACTCCACCTAAATGCTGGTAGGGGACAGTATCGTTATGCTCAGTAATGCAGCCTAATTCTGTTTATATGAGGTGTCTGCATTTTGCTCCCCAGTCTGTACAGCCTAAACCTTTTATATAACAAAGATTACAGACCCAATAATATTCACAGATGATTATTTTGTATATGAGCATATCAGAGCATTGACTACACATTTGGTTGCGTGCACTGACAGGGTGCACTGAGGGGTGTCCTTCACCCACCAGCCCACAGGGTATTTATTATCTTATCTCCCTCCAGGAGTCTGAAGTGCAGAACCCCTGTGCATTAAAGAGAAAGCAAAACCCCCTGTGCCTCTATCTAGTGCAGATTGAATTTTCACTGTTGTACTGATGACTTGTCCTAAGTCATGGTTCTGATTAAAAAAAATAGTGGAAATTAAAAGGACCCAACCAATCCAGGACACCATGCAGTAATGTAATATAGGAAGTATTGGAGTGTCCTGTCTGGTGTGGTGCCTGCTGGGTGTGGATTAGAGCTGATCTGAACCCAGCAGGAGAGAGGACTAAGCCATCTCCAGCTGGTTGACTAGTAAAGTCAGATTCCGTGAACTTGAAACTTGTAAGGACTCTCTGTATCATGCAGGCCATCTCTGTCACCATCTTCCCTTCCCCGTTCACTTAATATTAGATCCCACAGAGAGTTAGAACACTTTTATCTGCCTGCTATATCTGTTGCCCTGTAGCTGCTCTCCCGTCTTGCAGCAAAGCCACATCCTCTCAAGTATCACCAGGAAGGATCTACTGGGGCTCAGTCAAGTGGTAGGAAAACGCAAGTTATGCTGCTGCTGGCTACTGACACCAAGAAAGTTGCACAGTTTCTCAAGGACTGTGCTCCAGAGACTACTGGTCACTGAAGCCAACTTTTGACTGTTGACAGCATGAAACTTCACGTTCCAGGTACCCACAGCACATCTGGAAGGCTGGGCTACTTCTTGTCCCTTTGAAGATGCTGTGGGGAACTGATTTGGGAAGGATGAGAGAAAAGGATCTACTACTGATCTTTGCTGAAGCTGTCTAAAGACCAATGATGGGATTTAAACAGTCCACTCTGCATCACTGAGAAGAGCTGTGCTGAAAACAGCTGGAGGATTGGGCAGCTGTCAGGGGGGCCTAACTGATGTATCTCAGTCAGGCTACTCATGCAGGTAAGGGCTCTGCTGGAAAAGGGAAGAGGGAAATAAGGCCGTACTGCTGTCAGTTCCCTGGCCAAAGGAGCTTCTGCTTTCTAAAAAACCCTTGATATTTCCCATCAGATTTGATGTTTCAGAAGATTAATTTGCAGGGCTCATGTGAACAGCACAGTGTGCTGTCCCCTTGGTGCTGGGAGAACATCCCCAGGGCCCAGAGCCTCCACAGGAGAGCAGCAAATCCAAGTCACCACAAACCCAAGGCAATCAGGGGGCCTGGAAAGTAGGTGCGTAAGTAAGAGATCCTGGTCACTTCTTAATGATCAGTAGCTGAGATACCCTCACTACTGCTGAAGAATAAGTTACTACTTAGAAGCCTAGATATTTATGAACTTTCCTTCAGGCAATTGAGTTCAAAGATTTTTGGACCAACTTTATTTCAGTGGTTGCTTAAAAGTGGGAATGGGGCAGAGAAGATAATCTCACTTGCATGTGTGTGTACACACACATACACACATACATACATACCTTAAGCAAATACTGTATGTGAGTCACTACGGATAGTAATGTGCTAGGCTTGTGGGAACAGCTGGGGAATTACTTTCTATATTAAACCTTCAGATGGTTAGCTGAGCAGCATAATTGCTTGCCTCTCAATTTAAGCTGCCAAGTAGAAACATCTATGGAACTACCCTTATATTCCTAATCAAAATCTTTGTTACATTTTCAAAAATTCTTCAGATTTTTGCAGCAAGTTTTTTTTTAAAAATAGCTAATTTTAATCATCAAACTGCACACGATTTAAGTAGCAAAGATAATGTATAAAAGACTTTTCTCTTACAAAAAAAAGAAATATGAAACCCAAACAAACAACATCTAAGGCAGTTTCAGTGTGTGATAAATTCAAAGTTCAGTGGTCACTTTTCCCCTTATAAACACAGAGGAAAAACTGTAGTAAGTTCTAAATAGGATTGTGACTGAAAGTGGCTTTCAGATGGCTTTTTGCAGATCCTGAAACAGAGATGTCATGGGGGAAAATTGTCTTTTAATGGCTGTACAAATATTGAGAATATTTCCACAGTTCAGCTCTTTGAAAGTGTAGACTCCTGTCCTAGTTCATTAAGAGACCTTTCGTAGCTACTTGTGCATTCAAGGATTTGCCTTATTGGGTGATTTTTTCTTATTAAACACTGCTGGAGTTTAATAAGATGGCAGTAGCACAAATCCTTTTCCCCTCCTTTTAAACACTGAAAGCTAACCAAAGTGTTACCACACTTCTTAAAAATGTAATTCAATGCATCCAGCAAGCAAAGGATGTCAAATTTATGTGTAGAATAATATTGCCTAGCAAGCGTTTCTGTCCGAGCAGGACTATAACTCAACAGTGATTTTTGCACCATACCCTGCCCTTTCTGAATGCAAAGCATTGTATACAGTCAGGACAGTTTTTTCATACCCCTGAACACAATGTTCTCCCCAACCATAATGTATCGGGGCTTCCTTTTCTAAAATCACACAATTTCTTGCAAAGTTTGCATTTGAATGATTCATTCAGAAAAGCTATCTAAAGACCAAGGATCATGTAGTGCCTTCCAATCAGCTCAGAATACGTACTGAAAATAACTTGAAAGGTGCTTTGGTGTGGAACAGCAAACAATTTGGGATGAGGAAAATTCTTCACCTTGCTTTGTACATGGCAAAGTAAAACAGCTAGATTTAATGGCTCATTCAATGAAAGTTTTTCTGTACCTTAGTATCTGCCTTGAATTAAACAGAACAGTTTCAGCATCTCTGTTTTCAAGAAAACATTCCAAACCAGGTAACTACTGCGAGGAAAAACAGAGATGTTAACCAAGACCCATAAAAGAAATATATATTCTTGAAGGAAATGAAATCATAAAGAATTCACTGTATATTCACTGAATGTCAGCTGCATACATCTCATCATTTTTGCTTTGTCCTTCTCACAGGCCTATTTTGAAAACTGGCATGCTACATAGCCTAAGCAGAGTAACCAAATTCAGAGTACTGAAGTAAACATGCAATTATTGCCATGTTTTTAAAATGGATATGAATGGTCTGAGGGGATAATGAAAAAAGAAATAACCCAACAACACTTCAGGAAGAGTGGCAAGGTGTTATAATTGTCAGCTGATCAGACAAGCTGGGCTTGCCCTGGAAGAAATAGTCTTCCCACTGGTTGCAAAATATGCATAACTCTCAAAGAAAACACACAGTTCTTTATGCCACCATTGCCTCTTTTAGTACAGCTGTTACTGAAGAAGTGTGAACACCAAATGTGTTGTCTGAAAGTATTTAAGACATTGCTGGTGCTTACAAAGATGCAGCGCTGCAGTGGAAAATCAAACAAAATCAAACACAAAAGACTGAAAGAGTACATGCCATGTATCAGTAAGCAAAAGCTTAATCTGCACATAGTTCTCTGAAATCACAAGGTATCCAAATGCGTGCAAGGTTTTTAAATAAATTGCAGGGAAAAACAGGGTCTTGCCAGCTTCAATTTTCTTTTGAATGAAATCCACCACAGAGAAAGAAAGGAAACAGGCCGTGGTTCCTTCCTGGTGTCGGCCTCCTCATTAGGTTTTTGTTTCCCTCCTCCAACCTGGTAAATTTAATCCTGTAAGGAAACAATATAAATTATAATAAGCCTCATGAATTGCATTTTTAAATGTTTTTTTAACTTGGTAAAAGATAGGTTAGTCCAAAGCTAGTTATGAAGACACCAGCTCAGAGTGAAGGACAGACTTACAAAGCATGTTTTGAGCTGGTATGTCAGGAAAATGAACTCAAAACACCAATGTTTTTGGAGTGGTCGCCCAATTGAGATATAGTAATCCATATTAATGTATCTCTGCCCCAAGTGCTAATCTTCAGAGGTGCCATTAGCACTCACATTCTCCATGGAAATTATAGACAGCCATAAACAGACAGTCAGCTTTTCTAAAAGTGGTTACATCCCCTGAATGCAAAGGAAGGTTGCTAAATGCTGGCACAGCTTCAGAAGTTTACAAGGTCTTTTTGGCCCCTTCCTCATGGAGTTCCTAGTGATCACCTCCACAGCAATGCTTGCAACTAGTTTATCAAAAGGTCTCCTCAGGTCTCCTTCCCAAGAGTTGTTTGAGGTTCCCTGGGGCACATCACAAACATTTCTGCAAACACAACCAGGTTATGGAGCTCCTTGGTGTGCTGCATTTAAATGTATTCCCCTTTAGTTCAGTGTATTTCTATTAATAGGCAGATGACTAAATCCTCTCCTTTCAAATAATAAAATAAACACTATATCCATAGCATCACTTATGTCATCTTTCACTCTGCTGATTTATAAGCTCAAAGTAGTAACTGAACTTGCAAGCAGATATCATGATGCTTTTGAGGTTTACACAAAACAGGAGACAGACTGAGAATGTGGGACGCGTTACTGTAAAACAAAGCACCCAACAACTGCAAGAAGAGCCAAGTAAAGGCTAAATGAAGGCTAGGTGAACTGAAGCCACAAAAAGGATTTTATAATTAACGTATTTAATTAATAAATGTCCAAGTAAAATTCTATGCCAAGTAATAAAGTGAGACATTTCTGAGAAATTCTGAAAATATATTTGTTAGGTTCTTCAAGACCAAGGATTGTAACTACGGACCTGATACATTTTTAAAATGTAGTTGCAGGAAGACAGTCAGATGTGAAGGAATTTCATCACTTAAGAAAAAGAATGCTGAAATATTAATTGAGCATGGAACTGGTTTGTATTAGCATGTCCTAAAACTATTTAAATCAAACTGGGTGCAAGTGCCAGTGAATCTAGTCTAGCCCTCATTTCAAAAGCAGGAGAAAAGCAAGGCATCATTTTTGAACTGCAGTTTCAAGCATAACATTTTAATTGTATCTTTCAACAAAACAGCCCAATCTCTTAACTGTCGTAATTTCCAGGGTTCCTATCATGATTCTTGAGAGCTCTTCTTTTTTTCTTTAAGCATCAGGACGCTTGGATTGGATTAACAAAAGTCTTCGGCCCTCTTGGAGCTTGGTCTACTAACTCTAGAGTCCTTCCTGGGTTACTTCCTAAATGACTCTGGAGTTTGTGTGGACTGTCTATTCCACATGGAAGACCTACTTTCCTCAGGGTCTAGAGTTTGGCTGAAAGGCCAGTAGATCTTGTTTCAAGGAATACATTTGAGCTGATGCATTTAGTTTACTCTTCATAAACTTAAAAAGAAAAGCAGTATTTGGAACATGCAGAGATTCACAACTGCTCAGTGGTAAAACACCAATGACAGTATTCCCCAAATTCCACATTTCCTTTCCTTCAAAAACACTTTGTAGGGATGTCCTTTTTGGAGCCCCTCCTTACAAAGAAGCAACTAAACTCTCAAAGCTCCTTCAAAAGTTGAGCTTGCATTGCCCCTACTGCCACCCACACTACAGATGTGAAAGGCAGTCTTGCAGTTTGGAAGCCACATCTGCCCAGATTCAGAATAGCTGGCCTGATTTCAGGCTAAGCCCAAATTGCTGGAGTTCTAGAGACCAGCATAAGCAGCAGTGACATCTAAGACAGGTAACAAAATTATAAGCATAGAAAAGCCTTTGGATGGAGGCTTTTCTGGTAATTATCAAACTACCAGAAAATGTTCAGATTTGAGAATAACTGCAATAACATTACTTACACAGAACTTTTCCTTTCTATCAGTGGGCCTCAGGACAATTTCTAAAATAGGTAAGCATCACACTTCTCTTCGGGGTATGCTACCATTTCCCAGTAACCATACTACATTTTCTGGTTTCAAGTTTGGCTCTGTAGGCAAAGCTGATGATACATTCTCCAGGGCAGGGCTTGAGCTTGTGAAATGGGGAATACCTTCATCAGCACTTCCAGAATCATGCCCTAGAACATTAAGAGCTTCCTTGGGAATGACCAACTGAGAGCTGCTACATGTAACACAGGGGGAAAAAAAATCTCTGCACTCTGGCAACCACCACCAGCACAAACACAGAACAAGGGCAGAACACTGAAGACTAAGAAAGGGTAGCAGAAGTTACAGGTTTCCTGCTCTGGCTCAGTATAAGGCAGCTGACAGTTTTATCATCAGAACTCCACCAGCTCCAGCTGGGTCCTACTGTGCCAAGCTTGCAACTGCGGTAACTGCTTTCCTGTGAAAGCTGAGAGCCTGCGTAACAGTACGGTGGGCAACGCCACCTCCCACTTTCTGCACAGGCTCAAGATTTAGATTAGATCAAACAGTAAAATCACCAGAAAAGAGCAAGACTTGATGCCACATTTCACCAATGGTTCTGGCTGGAGAAAGCTAGAAGACAGTACAACTGGAAGCAGGGAACAGTATGGTGGTCACAAGTCTCTCTGAAGATGTGTTGAAATGCCCAGTTTGGGAAGCTGAGCTGCATGACAGGAGCTGGCCCACTGCTCGCACCAGTGCCATAACGGCCAGAGTGTTCTGAGGTTGAACCCTCAGCTTTGGCTGCTTATGCATTTCCATCATGTATAAAATGTCCTTACATGACACAACAAGCATTGTGCTCAGGAATAGATAATGTTTGCATCTGAATCCCTAATTCTCTGAATGTTTATTGTTGATTCAAAGTAGTGTCAACAGGTGAAATCCCTTCCCTTGGCATCAGAGTGCCCTTGTGGAGTGCCAGCCTTCTCCTGTCCTGAGGAAGAGGAAGAAACTGAACACGGATGTCAGAGGAGTGCTGTAAGCACTGTGCTCCTTAACTTTTGTTTTTGTTGAAGATGGGACTCACATGAAATAGGCACCTCTCCTAAACTGGAGAAAGAGGAGAGTGTCTTTTTATCCACAGCAGAAAATACACAATAAAACAAACAGAAAATTTTAGACTGATGTGAACCAGTCTTTTTATAAAAAAAGCGTTTTTTCTTCAGTGGGGCTCTTGAACTGAAACATCAGTTGTTCACACAACCAAGACCTGAGGCAGGGCCCTCCACAAAGTGCTGCCATTCATTTTCCAGATGGCTATAGTGGGCTGACCTTGGCTGGATGACAGGTGCCCACTAAACTGTTCTATCACTCCCCTTCCCAGCAGGACAGGGAAGAGAGAATAAGATGAAAAATGACTCATATGTTGAGATAAGGCAGTTTACTAAAGCAAAAGTGAAAGTTTGCATGCGTGCAAGCAGGAAGGAAAATAGCAAGGTTTAGTCTCTACTTCCCATTAGCAAGTGGTGGCCATCACTTTACAGTGCTGATGCTGTGCTCAGCAGTAGCCAAAACACTGGTGTGTTACCAACACCTTTCAAGCTACCAAGCAAAGCACAGCACTGTGAGGGCTGCTATGAGGAAATGGAACTCCATCTCAGCCAGACTCAATACAGTGGCTCAGTAATTCCATGTTTGCATATTTAAAGATATATTTTAGAAATATCCTTGCTTAGAATTTAATACATTTCCCTGATCATACAAATCAAAGTTTCGCCTGGTGACTTGGCAGATTGTGTTTATGGCCTCTGGTCACAGCTTTGCTTATAAAAGCATAAATTGTTAAATGGAGTATTTACAACTTGTGATTTCCCAGGAGCAAAATAGGGTTCTTTCATATTTCCTTAAAAAGCAAAGCAAAGCAAAATCAACCCCCCAAACAAACAAACAACAAACCCTGAAACATAACAGACTGCCTTAAAAATGAACTTGTGTTTTTCACCACAGATTCAGGTACTTCTGGTTTTCATGACATTTCTACTAAACCTCATAGTCTTCTTCAAGCAAGTTAATTATGTACTTGAAATACTAAGTGACCTACATGAAGTAACTAATTTCTGTGTTTGTTGTCTAGAGAAATCATCTGCTCATACATTCTGTTTTTCCCAGACAATAATGGGCTAAAGAGTAATCCACCTTAAAAATGGCAGTTGCCAACTTCAGAATACAGTAACTGGTGATGTAACAGTGGTTCTAGAAAGGGATACCAAAGCTTTTAATTTAAACACTACTCATACTCTCAAGACATGAGGCAGAGGAGGGTGACTAAATCCCAAATATTTTTCTTTATTTTAATTAGTGAAAGAAAATAATTTCCTGTAAAAATGCCAGTTCAGTACACGTTCTTTTTGGCAGCATCATCATCCTTCTCTAGATACTTTTAATTTCTGTATAAATTATCACATAAGGTGGAGTTATGCTCCTGCAGAGTCCTTAGCATGCAAAGCACACTCAGAGTGCAGGTCTATTTACATGGCAGCTGATTTAGCATTATTGTAAGAGTATTCCAGATTTAAAGTAAAAATGTGAGCTGACAACTGGAGATACTGTATTCTCTATGAGCTAAAACATGGGGGTGTTTAAGTTCATCAACAATAATGCTCTTTCTGCTTCTCCCTCCACCATGTGTCCACACCACAGATGCTGTTCATCCCCTTTGAAAAAAAAGTACACAATTAACAGGTGATTTTTCTTGCACCTTTTATTCCTAGCTTTGTTAGAGAAGTCATTTTAAAAAGCCAATCAGACATCATCAATACTGTTTGCACCCAGACAGTACCTACATGCAACTTGTTGCTATAAATATTAATTAATTGGATCACCAATACCCATAATGCAACTTTATTTTGACCTACATGCCCTATGAACTAGATATTTTTTGGATTCAAT